AGAGAATTCAGGTTGGCGGGACCTCAGGAGGTCTCCAGGCCAACCACCTGCCCAGAGCAGACTCGGGGCGTGTGGCCGGGGGTGTCTGTGTGTGTGGGTGTGGGTGTGGCACCACAGCCAACGCTTCCTTCAGTCCTCAGTGCGGAAATCGTCCCGAGGTAAGACAGCAGCTGAGTGCGGGTCGGCTTTCACGAGTCACACGGAAGGAGCTCCTTCTGGGCAGCTCTTGGTTCTTTCTCAAAGCTCATTCCTGTGCCCCCCCATCAACCTGACTTGAACAATGCTGAGGAGTCCCACGGGCACTTTTGACAAACCCTTCACCTTTTGCGCCGGTCTCGAACATGCACGTCAGCTCCTTTTTGAAGAAGGAACTCGACCATCTCTTCACAGTGCTCGATGATGGCAATAGTAAGCGGAGTGTAGCCCAACTGAAAGGAGAAATCATCTCCTTTAGAATCACACAGAAAAGTCAAGCAAGTTTGGGGAAGAGGAGCCTTCCCTGAAGGCCAAGCTCACCCTGTTCTGAGCATCAATATCAGCGTTATGCTCAAGTAACAGCTCCACTAGAGACGTGCCAGGAATTTCGGCAGCCAGGTGAAGGGCAGTGTTGCCGCAAACATCTTTGAAGTCAGGGTTGGCACCGTGCTCCAGTAGAATAGCCGCACAGTCTGCGTGCTGGTGCTCTACTGCCTGGAAACAAGACGCAAAGGAGGAGTAACTTCCAGCATCTCCGTTTCTCTCTGTCAGAACTCCTGTGCCTTCCCAACTCTGGAAAGTATGAGTGTCTTCAAAGATTAGGTAACGTATGCCCCTTGTCTGCTGACTGCAACATACCTGCTTCTACGCAGGCCTACGTAAAGAATCACGCAAGGTACGTACGGCTCAGCGCACAATCGATGAGCCCAGCATACAAGAATATCGCCTATTGCGCGTACCTTCATCAGCGGCGACCTGTTAAAGCTGTCGCCAGTGTTCAGCTGGCACGCGTTTCCTGCTGGAAACCAAACATCTGTGGGGTCGCTCTCACAAGGAAGGTGCAGCGGAGGTGTCCTGGAAATTACGTACCCTTCGGTTAACACAGACAGACAGCTGAAGACACTGTTTCAGGCTGTGGTACCCAAAGCCTGTGGCACAGGGCCACAAGCCTCACGTGGCAAAAGCCAAGCCAAAAGCAAGCTTTCTTGTTCCAGAGCTGGTGGCAGTAGTTGCACACCCAAAGCCTGGGGCAGGCTAGGAAAAATCCCCAACGCATCCGCTGGGTCAGGAGGCGTCTCCTCAGCTGTGTAAATGAAGCTGCACAAGCAGATTCCTGTGCCCAGGCACTGGTCCCTGCCTCCAGCAGGACCCTCCAGCCACAGCAAAGGAGACCACGTCTTGGCAGCCTGGAGTCTATGGACGCTACGTAAGTCTGCGGAGCCTGTGTGTAAGCTGCGGGCTATTCCCGCCATCAGTCCCGTGCCAGACAC